CACATAAAAATAAACAAAATAAAGGCACCTTTTCCATCTACAACTACAAAAAAAAAAAAAAAAAAAAAAAGATGGTTTATGCTTTGGCCATATTAGGTGACATATGTGATCTCTTTGCCCCGTCCCCCCCCAGTCCAGGAAACTATTAAGGAGCACCCCCACCCCCACCAATAGTGATCCTAAACAGACCAGGTTGTCCCTTCACATTCTTTTTTTTTTTTTTTTAAATATAGGATCCAAATGAAATCTACCAAATTTCATTTGGATCCTATATTTTTTTTTAAAGAGAGAGAGAGAGAGAGAGAGAGAGAATTTTTAATATTTATTTTTTAGTTCTCGGCGGACACAACATCTTTGTATGTGGTGCTGAGGATCGAACCTGGGCCGCACGCATGCCAGGCGAGCGCGCTACCGCTTGAGCCACATCTCCAGCCCCTCCCTTCACATTCTTGCAATCTCTTTCCCTTTCCCCAGGGGTCCACTAAAGATCATTCCTTTACCATAGAGCTAGGCAGTGAAATAGATACCTCTGAGAGAGAGAGAGGAAGCCTGACTATTGCTTATGGTACCATGATCCCTCAGGGTGTAAAGGAGGAAGATGCCTCCTCAGGTAATGACAGTGGCATCTGTATGAGCCCAGAGTACTACCTGGGCTGTCCCCAGCATAGCCCTTCTACCTCCAGAGGCTCTCCTAATGTCAGCCTGCCATCTCCAGGTGTCCCTTGTGGTTCTAACCACCCCAAACCTTATGACCCTCCTAAAGTTAAGAGGGTAGTACTAAAAATAAAAGGCGAGAAGCTGGATAAAAAGTTGAAAAAAATGGAGCAAAATAAGACAGCAGCCACCAGGTACTGCCAGAAGAAGAGAGCAGAACAGGAGGCTCTCACTGGTGAATGTAAAGAACTAAAAAAGAACGTGGGGCTAGGTTTGTGGCTCAGTGGTAGAGCGCTTGCCTAGCATGTGTGAGGCACTGGGTTCGATTCTCAGCACCACATATAATTAAATAAATAAAATAAAGGTCCATCAACAACTAATAAAATATTGGAGAAGAAGAAGAAGAGGAAGAGGAGGAGGAGGAGGAGGAGGAACAACAACAACAACAACAACAAGGCTCTGAAAGAGAAGGCAGAGTCTCTAGCCAAGGATTTCCAGTATCTGAAAGATTTGTTAGAAGAGGTCCACAAGGCAAGGGTGGGGTAGTAAGGAGTGCTGTTGCTTGTACTTAGGTGTCTCATGCTGAAGCTGTGTTATAACAAATTATTTTGTAGTAAAAAAAAAAAAAATCTGATTGTTTGTACCTTCACAGTTTCTACCGCACTGAGATAATTATTTGACAGTAAGATCATTAGTAACATACCACTTTACCTCTCCTCCCCTTTTCCCCTCACTTATCCCTCTGCATGGGACACTCTGTACTAGTACTTTCCAGGTCTTGCTGGATTTTTAATTTTTCTTCTCTCAGAACTGCAATTCTGTGAATCTCCTGACTCCAAGCCAGAACTTCAGCCTGTCTAATTGGACACTGGAACTGAAAACGTCACATTCCTTATTTCCACCTAGTTATTTCCACACGTTAGAACAACCTGGTTGTATTAATATATATGTTATGCTCTTGACAAACCTTCCTATTGAATCTCGTGCTCAACAACAGGGACCAAAGGCAGTCTAAACTCTGCTGCCAGAGAACAAGTCTTCTGGATAACCAGCCTAGGATTTTCTTATGATCGATCACCTCCTGTTAGACATAGCAGAATCACCAAGAAAAAGGGTTCCCCCCCAGATTTGTGATTAAAATAATATCGTTAATTTGTACCAAGTAGCAAAAGGGTCCAGGAAGAAGCTATATTGATGTCTCTTGTTCTTCTTCTACAAATAGCTCACCTGAAGGTTAGTGCTAATTCTGTGCTCATCCACACAAAAAACAACATAAATTACCTCATCACTTTTTCCCAAGTCATAATCACATTGTAATAGAAAATTTTACTGGGGCTGGGGATATAGAGTGCTTGCCTCAGATGTACAAGGCCCTGGGTTCAATCCCTAGCACCACCAAAAAAGAAAAAGAAAATTTTACTGAAAATGCTATTAACCTCCCTGGTGCCTGAGTTTTATCTATAAAAGGAAAACATACGGGGCTGGGGCTGTAGCTCAGTGTCAGWGCGCTTGCCTAGCATGTGTGAGGCACTGGGTTCGATCCTCAGCACCACATAAAAATTAACAAATAAAATAAAGGCATTCATTCTGTCCATCTACAAGTACAAAAAATTTTTTAAAAAAAGGAAAACGTAATCTATTTGGTAGATATTATGAAACTTAAATGATAAAAACACAGGCAAACTGTCATAACCAAGAAGAACCTAAAAAGACATGACAACTAAATATAATATGATCTGGAACAGAAAAAGGCCATTAGGTTAAAGCCAAGAAAACAGGAATCAAGTATGAACTTAAATTAATAATAATATAGCAAGAAGAGTGAAGCAAGTGGCATCACTATACCAGACCTTAAACTATACTACAGAGCAATAATAACAAAAACAGCATGGTATTGGCACCAAAATATACTTGTGGACCAATGATACAGAAAAAGGAAACAGATACTGACCCACATAATTACAGATATCTTATAATAGACAAAGGTGCCAAAAACATACATGGGAGAAAAGATAGCCTCTTCAACAAACGGTGCTAAGAAAACTGGAAATCCATATGCAACAAAATGAAATTAAACCCCTTTCTCTCACCATGCACAAAACTCAACTCAAAGTGGATCAAGGACCTGGGTTAAACCAGAGACACTGAACCTATTAGAAGAAAAAGTAGGCCCAAATCTCCATCTTGTCAGATTAGGCCCCAACTTCCTTAATAAGATTCCTCTAGTGCAAGAATTAAAATCAAGAATCAATACATAGGATGAATTCAAACTAAAAAGCTTCTTCTCAGCAAAAGAAACAATCAGTTAGGTAAACAGAGAGCCTACAATTTGGGAACAAATTTTTACCACATGCATTTCAGATATAGCACAAATCTCTAGGATACATAAAGAACTCAAAATTGTTAACACCAAAAAAACCCCAAATAACCCTATCAATAAGTGGGCCAAGGAACTGAACAGACACTTCTCAGAAGATGATATACAATCAATCAACAAATATATGAAAAAATATTCATTATCTCTAGCAATTAGAGAAATGCAAATCAAAACTACTCTAAGATTTTATCTCACTCCAGTCAAAATGGCAGCTATTAAGAATACAAACAACAATAAATGTTGGTGAGGATGTGGGAAAAGGCACACTCATACATTGTTGGTGGGACTGAAAATTGATGCAGTATGGAGATTCCTTGGAAAGCTGAGAATGGAACCACCTTTTGACCCAGCTACCCCACTCCTCCATCTATACCCAAAGGATCTAAAAACAGCATACTACAGGGACACAGCCACATCAATGTTTATAACAGCACAATTCACAATACCTAAACTGTGGAACCAACCTAGATGCCCTTCAGTAGATGAATGAGTAAAGAAAATGTGGTGTATATTTACACAATGGAATATTATTCAGCACTAAAAGAGAATAAAATCATGGCATTTGCAGGTAAATGGATGAAGTTGGAGTGCTAAGTGAAGTTAGCCAATCCCAAAAAAAAAATGCCAAATGTTTTCTCGGATTCAAGGATGCTGATTCATAATGTGGGTGGTGGGGGGCATRGGAGGATTAGATGAACTCTAGATAGGGCAAAGAAGAGGGAGGGGAAGGGAGGGGGTATGAGGGGAGGAAAGACGGTGGAGTGAGATGGACATCATTACCTTAAGTTCATGTATGAAGACACAAATGGTGTGACTCTATTTTGTGTACAACCAGAGATATGAAAAATTGTGCTCTATGTGTGTAATGTGAATTGGAATGCATTCTGCTGTCATATATAAATTAAAATTTTAAAAAGGGAAAAAGTTAAAAAACATAGTAAATAAAAAATAGAGGTTAAATTCTAAAAAAAAAATATATCAATATTGTTTCATTAAAGGTAACAAATGTATCAAACTAAGATAAAATGTTAATAATAGGGGAAACTGGGTGTAGGGTATATGGAAACTTCTTTACAACTTTTCTGTAAATCTAAATCTGTTCTAAAACAAAAGACTATTTAGAAGAATGTTTAAAATACAAAACAATAAATTGTAAAGTTCTAGTCAACTTTAAAATATCATACAATTTATAGGTTTAGTCTTTCATGTAGTGTTAGTACATGCTCAACCATCTTAAGTAGCTGAGATAATAGGGAGAGACTGAAGAGTTAAAATCTGGGGTGGAAGAACCTAGCCCCCAGAAACATCACAGCTGTTTCCTGCCAGTTGGTGCCTCATGTCTGACTTTCAATAGAGCTGATTTTCTTTGTATAATTATTTTTGCCTCTCAACTTATCTATTTTACCCAAAGAAAAGTTACTTTTTACAAAGAGGCTCTAAGCTAGCAGGTATTTTAATTTAAGACTGCAGAAAGTAAAATATAAGGCATGGGTATAGCTATTTCTCGGGTATATTTCCAAACTTCTACTCCTAACTTCAAATGTAGAAACAGACAGACATCCAGAGATAGAATTCAACAAGTGTACCCAACCCCAGCCAACTCCTATTCTACCCTGGGAAAAAAAAGAAGAAGAAGAAAGCAAAAGTCCCAGAAGTACAGGAAATTGTTTCTCAGACGAAAGACAACACTTCCTTTCCCAGAACAATCCATCTCCCACACTGACATCCTGCTCCTGCTATATTTACCCAACCCAAATCTGCTGATGATATACTTCCAGCTGCACTTTTGCCACATGGTCCTGTCACTCAGCTGGAGCACTCAGAGGGGAATCTGTCCAGAGGGCAGAGCCTAGAAATCACTACACACTAATCCATGTTTCCTCTACTGCTAGCCTTCAGAGTAAAGTGAGACAAAATACGAAGAGTATTACTCCATGTTTATTTTGGAAGTGACTGGGGAGACAAGAGGTACTTCATTTCATATAGTTGCTAATTTTGACTGCTCTCATGGTAGCCAGTAGAGGAACCTGAACAATGAAGAGATTGAAATAAGAGGTTAAAAATAACTCTGTTAATACTAGCCAGCCAAAAAACATCACTTAATAGCCTCTTCCACCCTAACCCACTAGGATCAGGCTATCATGTCACCTTATTACAGGGTGAACACTTCAGTTCTGAGTAGATGGATCCAAGGAGTCAAGGATATGACTGTTTCATTCACCCCACTTCATCCTACTTCACAGCACACTCTAATGAAAAGGACAAAGCCCCAACACTGGACTGGGTAAAGGTAAATGCTAGGGTAACTTCAATTTTCCTATTTTAGCAACTCTGTATTCTTGGTCCTTCTCTCCCACCCTGCCCGCAACATCCCAAGTTCTTTTCTTTTGCCCCATTTGGTTCATTCTTTTGCCTCTCTTTACTTTTCTTTCCCTATTGTTTTCTCTCTCCCTTTCTGTTTTTGAATCATAAGCAAGGCTAGGGCTGTAGCTCAGTGGCAGAGCACTTGCCTAGCACATGTGAGGCAATGAGTTCGATCCTTAGCACCACATAAAAATAAATAAAGTAAAATAATTATTTTAAAAACTCATAAGCAGGAGTTGGGGTTGTGGCTCAGTGGTACAGTGCTCGCCTGGCATGTGTGAAGCACTGGGTTCAACACTCAGCACAACATAAAAAATAAATAAACAAAGGCATTGTGTTCATCTACAATTAAAAAAGAAATCTTTAAAAAAATCATAAGCAAGATTCCTTTAATAAAATAACTGATAACTGATAAGGCTTTCATTAGTAATTGTCATATTATTAGTCTAGTCTCCACAGTAATACCAGCAAAGAACTTGAGCCTAAAGACCAATACTTCTTTTTCTCTTTCTTTTCAAAGGAGATTCAGTCACACATATTAATCAGATCCTTCAAAAGAAAAAAAAGAAAGTGAAAGCAAAAGGAAAAATGCAGAGAAATAAGAGGGAAGGATAGAAAGGGGTGACAAGAGGAAATGTTTTTCTAACCTTTTTCTTTCTTAAATCTCCTGGACAATGGGCATTTCCAATCTTTATAGATTTTTAAAAACTTAAGTGGAAATTCTTTTTTTTTTTTTTAGTTACACATGGACACAATACCTTTATTTTGTTTATTTATTTTTATGTGGTGCTGAGGATCAAACCTAGTGCCTCACATGTTTGAAGCAAGTGCTTTGCAACTGAGCCACAACCCCAACCCTTAAGCGGAAATTCTTTTTTTTTTTTTAACATTTATTTTTAGTTGTAGTTGGGCACAATATCTTTAGTTTATTTATTTATTTTTATGTGGTGCTGAGGATCGAACCCAGGGCCTCGCTAGGCGAGTGCTCCACTGCTGAGCCACAACCCCAGCTCTAAGTGAAAAAAAAAATTTTTTTAAAGAGAGAGAGAGAGGGAGGGAGGAAGAATTTTTTAATATTTATTTTTTAGTTCTCGGTGGATACAACATCTTTGTTTGTATGTGGTGCTGAGGATCGAACCCAGGGCCTCGCTAGGCGAGTGCTCCACTGCTGAGCCACAACCCCAGCTCTAAGTGAAAAAAAAAATTTTTTTAAAGAGAGAGAGAGAGGGAGGGAGGAAGAATTTTTTAATATTTATTTTTTAGTTTTCGGTGGACCCAACATCTTTATTTTTTATTTTTATGTAGTGCTGAGGATCAAACCCAGCACCATGCGCATGCCAGGCGAGCGTGCTGCGCTTGAGCCACATCCCCAGCCCAAGTGGAAATTCTTAATGAGCCCAATCAAGCTTTTTTTTAAAATATTTTTTTAGTTTTTTTAAAATATCGTATCCATCTACTAAAAATTTTTTTAAAATATTTTTTTAGTAGATGGACACAATACCTTTATTTTATTTATTTATTTTTATGTGGTGCTGAGGATCAAACCCAGTGCCTCACACATGCCAGATAACTGCGCCACCATTGTGCTACAACCTCAAACCCCAATCAAGCTTTTAAAGTGATTTGGGAATACAATGTGAAATATGATCATGAATTCATAGCCAGTCTCACTTATTAAAAGCAGGGGGAGGAGCCAGGCACAGTAGCACCTGCTTATAATCCTAATAGCTCTGGAGGCTGAGGCAGGAGGATCAAGAGTTAAAAGCCAGCCTCAGCAAATTAGCAAGGAACTAAGCAACTCAGTGAGACTTTGTCTCAAAGTATAAAAGAGGACTGGGGCTGGGGAGGACTGGGGCTATAGCTCAGTAGGAGAGTGCTTGCCTAGCATGTGTGAGGCACTGGGTTCAACCCTCAGCATTAAATAAAAATAATAAATAATACAACTAAAAAAAATTTTTTAAAGGTGGGGGGGGCTGAGTCTGTTGCTCAGTGGTAGAGCACTCACCTGGCATGTGTGAGGCCCTAGGTTGGGATCCTCAGCACGACATAAAAATAAATAAAATAAAGGTATTGCATCCAACTACAACTAAAAAATAAGTATTAAAAAAAAAAGGAAAAAAAAGGTGGGGGCTGGGGATGTTGCTCAGTGGTTAAGCACCCCTGAGTTCAATCCCCATAACAACAACCAAAAAAGTAGGGGGAGTGTTTATGGTACACCTCAGTAGAGCATGTGCGTAGCATGCTAGAGGCCCTGGATTCAATCCCCAGCACCACCAAAAATCAGAAGTGGGGGAGAAAAATAAAAGGGAGTCAACTTCACATGACTGTTGTTAGTCTGGCTTAGATGAAAACATTTATGCTGTTGGTTGAGTGGAGAACAAATTCTTGTTGGTAATGCTGCCATAATTACCAAGCCCCAGTTATGACACATTGAACCAATTCTTTTCCAATTTTCAACTCTTTTTAATTACTACATTAAAAACAAAACAAAACAAAACTGGAATCACCAAAACCATAAAATATAGACATTTAGGATATGAAATTGTCATAGGAAGAGAAACTAACAAAAGCAAGCTAGGAAGATAGTTTGGGTCCACACATAAAATCTAATCATTTTTAAAAACAAATATTTTGGGGCTGGGGATATACCTCAGTGGTAGAGCACCGGCCTAGCATATTCCAGGCTCTGGGTTCAATCCCCAGCAACACACATACACAAACAAATTTGTAAGCAACCATTCAAAATCCGCCATCACTGCAAGCTGAAATTCTTTCAGGCAATACTCAACAATGGATGAAAAACTGGAGGAAGCAGTAATGAAGAATATGGCCTTCACATATTTCCCCATAAATGGCCTATTAATTCCAAGGGGAAATTACATCTGTAAAGAAACCAGCTAACACTTGACCAAGTGATCAATGGATGTGATACACTGAGAAGGATACAATATCAGTAGTTAGTCTGATTAGTTAGTAGGAGAATGTTCATTCATGCCAGACACACATGAGGAAACACAAGGCAAACTCAAAATGAGAAGGGGGGAGGGCAGGGAGGGATGGAAGGAGGACACAAGGGGAACATAAGGATGAATCAAAGTGACCTGTAGTTATTAAAAAAAAAAAAGTCAATGTCATAAAGGGCAAAGAAAGATTGAAGAACTATTCCAGATTAAAGTAAACTAAAGAAACAAGATAAATGGTGATCCTTGGGGTTGGGAACACTAAAACTTTTATTATTGGACAACTGATAAAACTGGAGTATGAATAGTAAATTATTGTATTAATGTTGAACTTCTTGATAACTATACTTAGATTAATATCCTTGTCCTTAGAATATATACACTGACATATTAAGGAATAAAACGTCATGACATATGTAGCCCACTCTCAAATGATTTAGAAAAAGTAATTTTAGATATATACATTCTTTGTGTATCATGAGAAAGAGAATAATAAAAACAAATAGCAAATTTGCGACTAAGGATTATAATTTGAATAAATCTTATTAAAATAAAATTTATGTCCTTTATTAAATAAAACTAGGCTTATTTATTAGAAGTACCAAATCAATAATATTCTATTAATCAAATTTCAAATAAAAGGTATGGCCATTTTTAATTTTAAAAAATAGCAAAAGGACATATGGGAAGGGATGGGGTTATAGCTCAGGGGTAGAGTACTTGCCTAGTATGTATGAAGCACTGAGTTTGATCCTCCCTCAGCACCATATAAACAAATAAAATAAAGTTTAAGAAAAAAAAATTTTAAAAAAGGACATATGGGAGAATTTTTTTGTAAGCTTAAAATTACTTCCAAATAAAAAATTTGAAAATATTCACTATCAGTTGATCTAATGAAATGTCCTGACACCATTTAGGTAATTGGGGAAATGGGGTTGAACTCACACTCCAGACAGCAATAAATAACCTCTGATAGAGAAGTGAGCCAACTTTTCTTCACTTTAGAGCTTCTGGAGGAAGACTATTACCAACATAAATATTTCTCACTCTATTTTCCTTTACTATATTCACACAATCCACTTTTGTTGACAACTAAGCCTGTGGCTTATCTAGGTTCACTTAGGAACCTTGTAGAATCACCCATTTCCTAAATACAAAACAGTTCTACCAAGGGAAGCTACTGCTTATTTTCTCCCTTATAGAACCTAAAGAATTGAATGAGTTTTTAAAACCCTTGAAATGAGACTGATTAAGATGCTAATCTTGGGCTCACTTGGGAGGATTAATGAGCCCTATTTGGATTCTAATAACCGAAGTCCATTTTCCCTTGACTACTTTCCCTACAATGCTGTCTAGGTAGGCTGAACCAAAAATTGGCATCCTCAGCCAAAGTCACAAAAAGACCAGTGGTCACAAAAATATTTGGCTACAAGCCAGGCGCAGTGGTAACACCTATAATCCCAGCAATTTGGGAGGCTAAGGCAGAAAGGATTCCAAGTTCAAGGACAGCCTTAGAGACTTAATGAGAGAGACTCTACCTCAAAATAAAAAAAATATATATAAAGGGCTGGGGGTGTGGTTCAGTGGTAGAGTACCCCTGGGTTTAATCCCAGTACCATTAAAAAAAAAATTATTTGGCTACAATCATTATTAACAATACACCTCAGATGTACACTCACATCAGAAAAAAAAAGAAGCAAGAG